CGTACTACTAAAACCTTAACCTAATTACTACCTACCGTCGTACTAGTAACTATTTTAGGTTACTACTAAATAATATATATATATATATATATATATATATATATATATATATATTAGGAAAATGGTGAGATTAGCCCACTGGCTCATATGAACATATGAGCCCAATGGCCCAGATTAAATCTGGGCCGATCTGACGATCACGACCTCATTTTATGTTTGAATTTTAAATTTTTTTTTCTACAAATCTAAGTCACTTGAAATTTTAGACATCAATTCTTCTCATCAAGGCGCACCTAATAAAAATATTTAAAAATTAATTCGTAAAAAATAAATTGACCAAAATACTCCCGAAATGTTTTAGGGGTATTTTGGTCAAAAAAAATTTACAAATTATTTTTTTGATATTTTTATTAGATTCTCCTATTTCTGAAGAATACACGCCTGAAATTTCAAGTAATTTAGATTCGTAGAAAAAAAATTAAAATTCAAACACGAAATGAAGTCGTCACTGTCAAATCGGCCCAGATTCAATCTAGGCCATTAGGCTCATATGTTCATATGAGCTAGTGGGCTAATCTCAGCATTTGCTATATATTATGTTGAGTATAAAGGCTGATACACATTGCTTTTCACAATTTTTTAATAAGATTTGAATCAATATGATTCGAATCAATTTTGAAACAACTTCAAATGATCCGACAAAAAATTAGAGAGATTGGAGTTCAAAATGGAAACGAACAATTTACAGAACTTCCTATCTTCCAAATGGGGGACTTTGCTAAAATTGGTATATGGATCTTCTAGATCTATCAAAAAAAAGGAATCAAGTTTTTTGTTGAGAGTAAAATGGCTCAAATAAGCCTTATATGGATTAAGATGCGGAACATGAACGTTTTGGGTAAAAAAGAAGAAAAAAAACAACAATAGTTGACCAGGTAAAAATTGGGCAATTCCCCAAAAATTGGTACAAAAATAGGAATCACATGATTTTTGCAAAAATTAGCCTGCTTCACCACAGTGAATCTAGCGATTTCCTGCAAACTGGGGTGAGTCACCAGTTCGTAGGCATCCGGAACTGGTGACGCCCCAATTCCGAGTAGGATCACCTAATTCCAATCCAAGTCACCCATTTTTTACACACTAATTGGAACCACATTTATGGTAGCCCCATCAAAAATATGGATCAAAATTCTAGCCAATTGCTGCTTTTTATATTCCCAGTACTGTTTTGGTTCGGAATAGGAAAATCCTCGGGCCATTCCCCCCTTAATCAATTTGGAAATATCAGAGCATATAGAAAACAAAAATAACATAAAAGAAAACAAATAAAATTATCTAAAGAAAGACGAGAGCTTGATCACTAGGAAAAGTAAAACATAATTTACAAAAAAATTGAGCAAGGCAAGAAAAATAACATGTAAGAGAGAGAATAAGCACACTAAAAGAAGAACATGGTGCATCCTATGACTAGGCAGGCTCCCAACAGCTAAAACACCACACCAGAGTGAGCTTATTCCATGACTACTAAGAGAAACACATTATTAAAGTGCAACTGCCATCAAGTGATTCTGGAGAAAAGGAACGCCAATTGTTGATTCAGTTTACATTATAAAATGTACTTTAATACCCAAAAATAAGCCATTGAGAAAAACCTAAAGAAGCATGGAAGACGTTTAATAAAAAATACGGCATCTAGTACAAATAAGCCCCCAAAATAAGTAAAAGGAAAACCAATACCATAGAAGGGGCACCTACAGTTCTCAGGGCATCCAGTGCAGCACCTGTATCAGATGACACTAACAATTCCCCCAGCTCAAGAAATGCCTGTTGAAACAGAAAATGAAGTGGGCATGCTGTCCAAAAATAAACCTACTCTAAAACCACAAATCTGAAGGAGTTGGCTCTCAAGTGTGTGCAGGCATTTAACTGCCAGAAACGTAAAGTGGCAACTGGAGAGAGAAGCTCATACATGAAATTCCTACCGTATCTATCAAATGTAAATGAATGCAGTTCAATGATATAATACAGGGATTAAAAGATGAAAGCAGATGGGTAACCTGTGCATCACGAGGGTCTATTCTTGTTGCCTTCCGAAAAATATCCAAGGCCTTCTCTGTCTGCCCAAGCTGAGCATGAATGTGCCCAACAGCCTTTCCAGTGCAGAGAAATGATGAGATCAGTAACATGAGGAAACCAACCAAAACCGAAAGAAAAAATAAGCACCGTAACATAAAACTAAATTTTTCTGTAGTACCTTCAAACTCTCACAATTTTCTGGGTAAACCTCCAAAACTTTTTCGAAATTTGAAAGAGCGCTTTTTAACTCTCCCAACTTCAACTGAACTTGTCCCAGCCCTATCCCAAATCAACCACAGCCTCATGAGGATGGTGGTAAAATTACAGATTAAAAAAATTAGGTGATATTGAAATCTGAAATGTTAATCGCAGGCAATTTTCGAAAAGCTGAAAGGGCATCATCAAACATTAAATGAATTTTGATGGTAAAACTAAGATTATTGGGAACGCATGAAGTTTAAAACTGAAATATTAAAAACAGGAAGACTCTAATAAAGCATATTTTCCTGCATGCCAAAATCAATAGAACTTCCTACATGCGATATTGTTGTAAACAGTATGCCCATTGTAGAGCCAAGCTCCAACAGACCAAATTACATAACTCTGGCATGCAAATAATATACCATAATGTATCTATTCCACATGCATAAACAAATTGCAAGTGGTTATAAGCCATGACAATGCTTATGTGACTTATTGCTTGCTATCCTCCCCCCAGCCATTTCGCAACACAAAAACACCCATTCTTCATTGGCCAAAAACATCCCCCCTCAAAGCTAGAAGGATCCCAGATCCCCAAATAATGAACACAAGGTAGCCTATGCAAAAGAGGACTGCAGGTCACAAAACCCCAAGAATTGCAAATAATCAATAGTAAAACAACAATCATACAGAGGACTCCAGATATTAATAAAACGGAAAAGACAGTGACAAAATAAGTATGTACAATCCGCAGTTGAAAATATACTGCCATGCACTTTCCACATCCTCCACATAATAGAAGGAAACAAGAGGGACCATAGCAAAGCACACTATTTACACAAAGATTAACGGCCATTAGTCCCAGCTCTCACCATCATAGAATCCTAAAGCTAAGCCCAAAATATACTAAATAGACACTCCGTACATGAGATGTACAGGCAAGAAAAGAATATGATATAGTAATCAACCAACAAGCCCTGTTTCCCACTCAGCTTCAACAACCATCTAACCAGAAGGGCCGGATTAGAGGATTTTCCATCACTCACCCAAAGGGCACATCTCTAAAGCCACACTATAGGTACAGGGAGAATAATATATGGGTGATTGAAAATGTAAATGTTTATTAAAAACAGACTATTACATTCTAGAATCTCCTTTCAAAGCATATACACACCATGAAACTGCTTATTAATATAAACATATACCAGAGAAGATCAAAATACCACAATAAAATATATGCATGGGAAGATAACATGAAATAACATGGCCACTGACCATAATAAGGCAATACAAAATCTTGAGGCCTGTTACATTCTTTGATAGATGCCATGTAGTATCGTCCGGCTTTTTCATAGTCACCCTACATAAGCAATATTAAAGAGAATAAGCAAAAATCTTACTAAACTAAAGGACCCCCAGTTTAGGTTTAGACATGCTCGTTGTTTCCAAGACAAAAGGAAAAAGCACCAATATAAATATGTTCAACTTGATAATGAAATAGTTAACTTTTAACCTTGCTATGATAAGATCTAGCCAAGTTGTAGTATGAGTGTGATTTCATCATAACATGATCGCCCAAAGCAAGTGCAGTCTCTGTCAACTGCTCAACTAGAAAGTGTTGCCCGGTAAAGAAAAAATGATTCGCTAAATAATTCAAAGCCATAGCGCAATATGGGTATCTCTCGAAAGCTCTTTGCATTTTCTCCATTCCGCTGTGAATCGCAATGGCTACACCACAGATTGGAAATGTTGAAACAATTAGCTTATTAAGAAATCAAATAAACTCGTCAATCAGAAAAGAGAAAGACAGCATATAAACCCGCCCATAAATGGTACAATTGAATAAAAAAAGTACGGCAAATTGCATCCATTGCTCAAACAGGAGATGAAAGGACATAGTACTTTGAACTACTATTCATAATCTGCCTCAGATTCGATACGCATCACATCACCCACTTACCCTCATCGGTTTGCAAATCCATAACTCCAAGAGCCACAAGAGCCTCAACATTTTCTGGATCTAACTGCAAAAGCAAAATTTCAAAAAGAAAAAAAAAATAAACTCAAAATAATGTCATCAACATTTTGACTTTGAAAATGTGTGCACCAACAAATGATATGATGTGTGAAATACTTTTTCTTATTTAGTAATATGCTATATATAAAATGTAGCAAACAGATACCTGTAAGACACGCTGAAACGCTTGTCGAGCTTTATCAAATTGCCCTAGTTTGTACCGACATAGTCCTAAACCAAGCCTTACTGCAGCAGGGCAGTTTGGATTTCCTCGCAAAGCCCTCTTCAGAAACAGCCACAAATTAAGAGAAAGGGTAAGTGAAGTCCAGGATCTATAAAAATATACAACCAACACTTTGATACCAAAAGGTGATAAAGACAAGTAAATCACTTGCCCACGAGGCCAGATTAATTAAGGGAGCTGAATAAAAGAAAAGAGAGCAATGAAGGAAAACCTTGTATAACTCCAATGACTCCATATATCGCCCATTATTAAACTTGACACATGCCTGCCATGAATTAGGCATAAATATAAGCTATACATATCAACAACTCCAATTAGCAATTAATGAAGTGAAGCATCATAATAAGAAACCTGATCAGAGATATCTGAACAGCTCACTGTATAGTACAAAGTGGCTAATAACAAATATTTAATAATGTAACAAAATGGCAGGGGCTACTGAGCATCAGATTCATGCTACAAAAACTTTCACAATGCAAAAACAAACAGATCAGCCAAGAATCCGAGTGAAAAGATGCTCAAGAGAGATTACAAACCACTAACAGGTGGTGGGGGGAAAAAACAAACGAATGCTAATTAACAGAAAATTGTACCATTAAAGATATCAAGCGATCAACGCATAGCACCAATATTTTCATTACACATAATGATAGCATATAATACAAAATATGAAGTCATATATTTTCAATATGATATGGCAATAAAAATTACATGTTCAATATGAAAATATGAGGATGAAAATATTGGGGCATAAACAGAGAAATTGCGGAGAGAATCTACATGGAAAGTAATGACAATGTTGCCCCTGTTAAAAAGTACAGAGGGGCAAGTCTTTAAACCAACAACACTTGCATATAAACAATACAATAAAGACACCTATCTATGTTTTACAGTTTACACACACACATACCCATCCTCCCCTGCCCCCCCAACAGTATAAACACTAGGTAGTAAAGGCCTATTGTTTTCCCAAAAAAGCCTCCAAAGCTTCCATGGGAGTGAGCAGTCCCTTATGCTCCAGCTAGTTATATTTAAAAAGTCACCTTTAGGGGGACCCACTTCACCCACCAGAAAACATCTCAACCTAGGCCTCAGACCATAGAGAGTCTGCAAACCCCAAAGGCCCCGCATGGCACTTTATTTCTAGTCGTTACAATCACATTCCTAAAGCCAACATACTCCGAATTCCTTGAGAGCAAGAATCAAATTTAACCTGAGGGATACAAAAAGAGGAGAAGGGTTGCATAATACTGTAGGCCTCGTCTTTGATGACCATTCCTGTCACAACCCAAGGGTCTCACCCACAGTTCCTGAAAGTCTATCACCTTTATACCATCTATTTATAATAACCCTCATTCCCTTGCTCTAGAAGTTCTCTTAATTCTTTGCTATATTCTCCAAAAGACAGGCCAAAAAAAAAAAGACCACCATAGATTGCACTCTTTAATTCCATACCATCTCTACATGCACCTCCAATAGCCCAAAGAATGAATGACATAGCCCAACAATATCAGATAAACACAACATAAACTCCCAAATGAACAAACAATTACCACACTGAAGGAAGGTGCCATTGTCACCTCTGTTCTATATGTATCTATACATATTAGGCAATAAAAGACCTCCATAGTGAACGTTATTGATTCCAAGAATTTCGTTTTTATAACATGACCATTAGAATCCAGAAAACCAGGGCTGGTTGATTCCGTACCCCACATTCCTCAACTCACATAGAAACTCCCTTCTTTACTACCAAACAAAAACACAAAACATATGCATTGACAGACAGCAACCTAAATGAGTGGAGTTCCTAGATCTATCTTCCCTTTAGGTATTCTTAAGTAGATGTCCATGACCACCAGCCACTTCACCAACTGGGGCACATCCAAGTTTCACCATAGGGGTGGCATCAAATTAGCACCCTCAAGACCTTCAGGATAACTATCAAAGGCTTTACATACTCATAACCTCTCCATAACCCAAACTCTTGGAAAGTGCTTATGTAACAGCTCCCCTTGTAAATTACCCATTCAAAACCTACATGTGCACGTCCCTCACTACCCTGTGAATGCAGCCTCTAAACTCATCCAGACATAGAGAAACACAGGTAAAAAGAATTTTTTTTTTTGCCGGCCTTCCCATTGCTCCAGCCGCCACCTACATCACATACTCCAGTATTCTGAGTCCCAACCTCCATAACTATAGCTTTAGATACATTTACTTACAGGCCATGAGAATTTTAAGAGCACATAAGCATAAGTCATATGGTTAGACCTTATTTACCCAAGTGCTTCCATGTCATCAAGGGAATTGGGCACTCACTTGATTGATTACAGTGATGGAGGATTGCAACACAATATCCTTCAAATCGTAATGGAGCTCTTGACATGGTGATCAAGGCCATGAAACCACAATGTGACATCAAGGGTACCAATACTTTCCCACTCATCAACCCCCCACCCCCGTCCAAAAAAAAAATGATAGCAATACTAAAGAAAAGGAAAAGAAAAATGTTTTTCTGACAGCTCAAAAAAACTGCAATGTCATTCACAATTTTAACATATGAATTCACGGAATCTCATGCATCCCATGATCAAAGCAAAAGATGATATGAAGAAGCAAGATATGCAGGCGTGTATCGGCCAGACAAACCATCTCTCAAGAATGACACGTCTCAACCTATAAACCAACAATGGAAAAACTGCTTTTTAAATGTTGCCCCAAGGATAAATCTTGCTCGTGAATGTTAGCCCCCCTTATGAGTTTACATTTTTTCAGAAAAGCCGCCACATAAGTTTACTTTACTGATGTTATCATCGTTAACGTCACCTTATAGAGTCCAAGTCATCCCTGATAACAAGTAGGCATAGAGAATAAAATCAACACTGTCTATGCCATAAACTGAGTTCAAAGCATCATTGCTTCTCAAACATCATGTTAAGCAATGTGAATACCCCTGGACATTTGCTGTAAGGGAACTATGGATCAAAAATGAAAGGGACATCCATGAAGACAAAACAAAAGAAACAAACATGAAACCATCTTAACCTGGCATAGTGCGTGTGTGGTTGAATTAGATAAAGTAAAAAAACATAACAATTTTTTGACAAAAAGAAAATAAATTTCTTGGAAAGGAGAAAAGTGAGGACCACAATACCTGACCAAGAAGAGCTGGAATATTATCAGGTTGTCCATCCAATACAATCTTGAATGCATTAGACGCCTGCTCCAGATCACCCTTCGCCAATAAAAGCTGGCCTGTTTGAATCAACATGTAAACCAATAGATAGATCAACATAAGCTATGCAATACATTAACATACATGATGGAGACTTTTGGCAAGAACACATAAGAGATAAAGATTTATTCACTTCTGTTTCACTTAGTTATGTATTCTCACTCAAGCATATCTTGAAAATACGTTCTCAAGTGTCGTGTGTTACTTGACTATGCATTCTCACTCAAGGCATATCTGCTCTTTTTTTTATTACATGTTATAAATTGAGTTAACTTCCAGCAAACAACCTAAAGATTTTATCAATCTATTAAACATTTTTTGTTTTTTTAAGTCTTTTTCTTCTTTTGTGCTTCGCATGACCTCCAGGCAGGTGTGCACCAAGTTTTTATCAATCCATTAAATGCTCAATAACTTTTTTGGAATTGGAAAATACAAAAGGCATTTCAAAGCTTTAATATGGCTTGGGATTCAGCAGGATCTTAATGCAGTCTAGATTCAACTTCATAAGACTTCTGGACTTAACAGTTGGATACTCTTTGAAATTTCAATATTTTTTCCACAAGATAGAGGGAGGACTTGGTAAGGCTAGATTGTGCATCAGGAATTTCCCAATTTTAATCCCTAGCAAGTCTGCATGCTTTTTAGGATTCAAGAAGTATCCCAGCTGAATCAACTCAGGAGAGACCCAAGTCCAAAATCTAATAATTTAAAATCAATAGTGTTCATTATGTGGACATTCAATCCTAAAATCATTAACACCCACATATATCCATTTAGCACAACCAGAATGTTCAAAAGAACAGTTCTCTCATCTGGCTGCCAAATTCCAATCATGATGAATGGCTATCCAAAAAATTTGTTTTGCCAAGGTGTAGGCAATTCAGTTAGTGTTTATTTTATTTATTGCCTTATTGATAACCACATTATATTAAAAAATACCATAAAAATATGGTATTTCTTTCCTTTTTCAAATACAGTGATTTAATTAGCTACAAATGAAAAGGGCCAAGCCACTGTTCATACAGCCTGCTTAGCTTCATCCCATGCACTGTGGACCAAATCTGACTCCAGACATATTACACCATACTTTGGAATTTTGTTTAACTTTGTTAAGTAATTAGTGACATTTTTAACAATATGATATGAGAGGCACAAGGGTACTCTCCTCAAAGAATGTGTGGTTCAGTGCTCTCAATGCAATGAGAATGGAATATAATGGCCAAAGATAAAAATGCAAGAAAGAAGGGTGATGGGGTTTGTCATAGATATCCAATTGCAATACTACCATCATACAGAATAGTTCTTCCTAACAAACATGTATTTAAAAAGTTCTGATCTTTATGTGCAGTAAAGTAAACCAATATATGCTATGGTGAAGACACTTACCTTTTCCAACCCAAGTGGAAGGCTCATGCATATTAATCCTTGATGCTTTGTTGTAGTATTGCGTAGCAGAAATAAAATGATCTTCCTTTTCCCTTTGCTTGGTTTCAATTTTCCCAAGGTAGCAATAATAAGCACCTAATGCATTAAGCATAGCGATTCGCTCATATGTGACTCCTGCATAATATTCATCAATTTCTGTGGACCAAAACAAAACAAGAGTAAGAAACATATGCACATCAGTGAGAACGTAGGAGATATCAGTAAACAAGTAACAAATAATTTCTTGAAACAATTGTTCAAGAAAATGAAAGTACCTGGACTTGAACCTTCCTCCAAGATTTGGCGAAATTGTTCAAGCTTTCCTTGTTTGAAGTATTCACGCTGCATTCGCATCAACCAAATATTTAAAAAATAATAATAATAATAATGAAAAGACAGCAAAGAAAAAAAAAAAAGTAACTGTATACAAGAAAGCCAAAACACTTAATCAAGAAAATATCATATACAACTGAGGCCCTAACTGCTTTCAAACACAAAACCTCCAAAATACATGTCCTTTCCACTCACGCCATAAACTGCTAAACCATCTACCACAACATTTCCATCCTAGAAAAATCAATGCAGCCAATTATGGATAGTGGGTCCCTAATTTCCATAGAATCCAACTCAATCATCAAGTAAAACTCAATCATCAAGTAACCATACATTCCGTCCGAATCTATCTGAATGCAACAACTATCCCTTTATAACTTTTAATTACAGTTGGAATACTTAACCATTAGCTTATCATTGCTGTTCAAGTAAAAAGTAAAAACTACAGCAAAAAGGCCTTCTATCCGGTTCCATCTCATACATAAAATCTAATAAACTATGTAACATTTCCTTCCTAGTAAAGTTTGATAGTCTCTAACTCTCCAATTCTCCATAGTTTATATTACCAAAAATACGTAAGAAATTAAAATCTTATTGACGTATTTTTTTAAATGTAAGTTGAAAATAAACTCATAACATATTTATACTTTTGGGTCAAAATTAATCATTTTGCCCTAAAATTTATGAAAAGGCCAACTCCCACTCAGGGGCAGCCGCTGGGTAGCAGTGTGAATAGATCGGATCAGGGCCGGATCCAATAAGATCCGGATCTCCAAATAGTATAACATCAGATCCGAGTCGGATATGAGTTCAAATCGGATCCTGGATATTCGGATCCGAATCTAGATCCAAATTATAGATATACTGTTAAAAAATTATATACATATTTACTATTTAAAAAAAAACAAATTGGATCTGGATTCGGATCCGAATCGGATCCACCAACACCATGATCAGATCCAGACTTCACTTCGGATCTGACCTTTGCATCCGGATTCAATTTTTTAGTCCAATAGTTCAAAATCTGAGTTCACAATTCTCACCCCTTCCGCTGGGACGCTAAAATTCCTAAAATGGCCGCGTCCCTAGGCAGTGGGCTCCCAGGGGCCTGAGCGGTCTTGGGCGCCGGACTGTTTTTTAAACCTTGACCATAATTTGAATCTATTTCATAATCTCCATCATATATCGTCAGGAACAGACGGTCATGCCATTCAGGTATTGAAACCTAGAAACTTGCCTAAACATAAAAGATAACTAAAAGGTAACAAAATTGACACTTTCTGCAGGATCTTGATGGTTCCCAAAGCACGGCAAGCATTTGGTCAAGGATCAAAATCAACAATAGCCAAATAAAATCTAAATCTCAGAGATAAAAGTCAAAACTGTCATAATTTGTTGTGAAATATAGAACAAATTACAGTAAAATTGCACAGAATTTTGAACTTACGGCAATGATGAGCCATAGATCCAACGGAGCTTGCTCAGCCTTGAGAATGTCGAGGATATCAGTAGCGTCCCTTGGGAGCTGGTCTAGAGCAACTCTCACCTCTTCCTCTGAGTTTTGAACAGGAATGTATACACACGCCATGGCTGATCAAGAAACCCTATGAAAACCTTGCAGCTATGGTGAACTGAAAACCCAAGAGAGACCCTAAAAACGTGGCTTACGAGACAACCTAAAGGAATTCACGGACTCTCTCCCCTGCGATTTAAAGAGAGGTGTGCTGCGAAGGGCGAGCGGGAGAAAGAGCAAAACCATTCCATATATATGGTAGTATATTGTGCAAAACCATTCCATATATATGGTAGTGTATTGTACTCCGCGGGATCATACTTCGAAATTAGTCCCTCGGACAACATTGCGCCATCCTCCTTTTTCTATTGGGCAAACTTTCTATGCTTCCCCTAAGGAATAAAACTTATATACTTCCCCATATCCAACCTTCCATTCGAAATGGAGGGTTAAGATTATCTCAATCACAATGTCATGTTTCTATATTATTTTATTTTTAATTTTTTTGTGTAAATTATCTTGATACCCAATTTTGGATGCCAATCCTTTATTAAACTCGGATTAGCGCAAAATATTGAAATAAATATTTTTAATAAAATAAAATAATCAAAATACCTCTCAAAGTTTCAAGAGGTATTTTGGTCATTATATTTTAACGAAAATTTATTTTTAATATTTTTTACAGGTGCCCCAATGAGAAGATGGCATACACCAATTTCATATTCAAACAATTTGTATAAAAAAACAAAAAATAAAATACTTTGAGACGTCAGATCTAAAATCAAACGGTGAATGACTCTCTTGATCAAAATTCGACGGCTGGATGGTAGGGGCAGCATAGATCTTCTATCCTGTAAAGGAAGTATAGAGAGCTTTTCCTTTTCTATATTGTAAAAGTAAATGTAGGGCAAGATATTGTACTCCTATAAGAGTATACTACTTATTTACTCCCTCGTATAAAACCCCTTCCAAGATTAATTTTAAGACCCCAAATTAGGGGACGAAACATCTTCAACCCTAAATTAACCTCAAAAAAATATTTCCTAATTGTACCTTCTATATATTTGAGAAAACAATATCTCGAGATTGAATACAGACCTACAAATTTTTCAAGGGTGAAATCAAAGTGTTGGGAAACAAAGAATTTAACTATTTTTGCCTTTTGAGAATAATAATCTAGTCACTCCTAAGGGTTTTCAAAATTTTAGATTAAAAAAATCCTCCCAAACCGATCTTCTGATTGAGGAAATAGTATACGAGCTCGTATGCCGATTCTAAAATCAAATGGTCTAGTTTATCTTAAAGTTCTATGTGTAAAATGAATGTGAATTTTATAATGCTCGTCACTAAGTCAAGAGGCTATGTTCCCAAAGTTATAGGTCCAAATATTGTCCTAGACATGGTTTTGGGTGGGAGAGTGAACGGACACATGACCACGTAGCCCTTCGCAAAGATGGCAAAAGAATTTCTTTATTTTTAGTGATAATTATACATGAGCATTTGCCAAACTACAAAATAAAATAACCAAAATACTTTTCAAAGTTTCAAGAGGTATTTTGGTCATTATATTTTATCGAAAAATTATTTTTAATATTTTTTATAGGTGCCCCAATGAGAAGATAGCATATACCAAATTTCATATTCATACAATTTGTATAAAAAAACAAAAAAAAAATACTTGGAGGCGTCGAATCTAAGATCAAACGGTGAGTGACTCTCTTGATCAAAATTTGACGGCTGGATGGTAGGGGCAACATAGATCTTCTATCCTGTAAGGGAAGTATAGAAAGCTTTCCCTTTTCTATATTGTAAAAGTATAATGTTGGGCAAGATATTGTACTCCTATAAGAGTATACTACTTATTTACTCCCTCGTATAAAACCCCTTCCAAGATTAAATTTAAGACCCAAATTAGGGGACGAAACATCTTCAACCCTAAATTAACCTCAGAAAAATATTTCCTAATTGTACCTTCTATATATTTGAGAAAACAATATCTCGAGATTGAATACAGACCTACCAATTTTTCGAGGGTGAAATCAAACTGTTGGGAAACAAATAATTCAACTCTTTTTGCCTTTTGAGAATAATAATCTAGTCACTCCTAAGGGTTTCCAAAATTTTAGATTGAAAAAATCCTCCCAAACCGATCTTCTGATTGAGGAAATAGTATACGAGCTCGTATGCCGATTCTAAAATCGAATGGTCTAGTTTATCTTAAAGTTCTATGTGTAAAATGAATGTGAATTTTACAATGCTCGTTACTAAGTCAAGAGGCTATGTCCTCAAAGTTATAGGTCCAAATATTGTCCTGGACATGGTTTTGGGTGGGAGAGTGAACGGACACATGACCATGTAGCCCTTCATAAAGATGGCAAAAGAGTTTCTTTATTTTTAGTGATAATTATACATGAGCATTTGCCAGACTACTTATAGAAGATGACTGTAAAAATTCGTTCATCATATTTCACTTATTATGCCCATGCCTATTTTTTCGTGCTTTCTATTTTTCTCGAGATTATTCCAATCGAGCAATATTAGACTGGAACTTGTCGTTTTGAGGAATCAAAGTGGTCTAGAACTGTTAGTTCTGAGCTGTTCCTTGTAAGGAATAATAGCAGTATGGAGTTATTAATTTAATTCTAAAGCGCTAAGTGAATGAATCAGAGGGGCCCCTCTAGAAGTAATAATTATTACTCCAAAAGCTCATAGTAAGGAATCAAAATGTCCTCGCACAATTAACTCGAAATCTCTCTTCATTAGTTCGAGACCGCTTTGATTTTTACAAAGATGGATAATAGATTAGAGTGGCTCGACACTACTAGACAAAGCCAGGACCTCTTCGGCTCTGTCCGAGCTGAGCTCAGGGCAGGCCGGGCTGGGACCAGGGCTGGGCAAACCTGTTGCCACCGTTAGACCTTGAGCTGGTCTCTAGAGCCTGTCTTTAGGCCCAAGGTTCCAACTCCTCCAAACCAACCATTAAAAAGGCAAAATAAAACACAAGATAAAAATCAAAGCATTAATTTTGTCTATGTATTTTTTGAGCGCTTCGTGCCGACTTTCTTTTCCTGTTTTTGTTTTGGTTTTGGTTTGTTGTTTTCTTTATTTTCTTTTGCCTCTCTGTTGTACTTCTCCATTATCTTAATGAATATATGTCTTCTATCAAAAAATAAAAAAGCCAAAAAAAAAAAACAAAGCATACCATATACAACATATGTATAACATCACAACAAAAAGACAGTTGGAAAATCCTCACAAACATGATAGATGGAGGAGCAAATAGTTACGATCAAGTTGTCCCTCATCC